AAATGAAACTCTTTTAAGCCAGTGTAATGGTAAACATAACAGCTGTAAATGACGAAAGAGGGAATGTGAGTGAGAAATTTAAATCAATGACAACCACAAAACCAGAAGTAGAAACACACTTCTAACTAGGTACAACTTACAAACATAATGAGAAGCCCACTCAATAATCTATAATCAGGTTACAGGTATATAAGCTATTACAAAGATCTCAGTAAAGAGCAAAGTTTGAAAGGAGCAGAATTTACCTGGCATTGAATATAATGGGTGGAATAAGATATATAAAGAAAAGATCTTCACTGAAGACTAAAACATGTGAGCTTCTTCCCCCACTTGTAAGAAAAATCACAGACCCAGTACACAGACCCTGTCACCAACCACATTACAAATTACATTATTGAATATTTTAAAAGAACAAACGTACGAATGTTGATAGATATCATCAAGAATTTAGCTTCACATATAATTCCTTTTTTTAGCTATACAATAAGTTACGATATCATCAAAAAAATTTCACTAAACACGAAAATAACCCAAACTTTAATGAACAATGTTTCATGCTAATCCATCAAAGATGAAGATTCTCTAATGAAGATGCTAATGAAAATTATAAGTACAAAAAATATAGACCAAGCACACTTGCCAAACACAAAATAAATTGCAAACATAAAAATACTCTCATACACTGTCATTCTGAGATCATGAGACCATCTATAGTATGAGCTATCTAATCCCAAACAGTCTTGCAAATTAGAGAGTTAATTGATTTGAAAAACAAACAAAGTAATGAAAAACAAACAAAACTACCAGCAGATTTGATAGATCAGGTTCAACGATCTGATCTGATCTAATCTGAGAATGAAAAAATTAGAAAGTTAATCAGCAGATTTGACAATGAGAAAGTAAAGCAACAGAGATCGATCTGGTTCAAACTCGAACACCGATTACGAGAATGAAAAATGTACCTGAGATAAGAGCAACCTAGATCGATTTGGTTCAAGAATGATATCGATTTTGGATCTGCGATTTGATGAAGAACAGATCAAGTTCGAGTTCAAATTCGAGTTCGATGAAGAGACTGATCAAAGCTCTCCAGCAACAGATCAATGAAGAGCAATAGAGATCGAGAGTTCAACGAATATACAATGCCAAATCTGCAATCGAGCGAGCGAGAGAGAGTGTGTGTGTGTGTCTTTGATCTAGTTCGATGAATATCAGTCGAGGGCTTTGGAAGAGAGAGAGAGAGAGAGAGAGACTGAGCTATGGAAGAGACACAGAGAAAGTGAGAGACACAGTATGGACGGTGTCAATATATACACCCAATACAACGCCGTTCAACTGAGCTCAAAGACAACGTTTTGAAAACGTTGTCTTTCATTCATCTATAACGGCGTTTCCCAAAACACCATAAAAAAAATGTTGCAGTAGGCCATTTTTCCTGTAGTGAATTTTGTGATAAAACATAATATCATGTATTTGGCAACTAAACAATTTGTAACTAAAAAGAAATTGGGAAAAGACATTTGGCAATTAAAAGTTTAGTAGCCAAAAATAAATAAATAAACATTTGGCGAGTAAAAGTTTAGTAGCCAAAAATAAATAAATAAATAAATAAATAAATAAACATTTGGCAAGTAAAAGTTTAGTAGTCAAAAGAAAATTAAACATTTGGCGACTAAAATATTTCGTAACTAAAAACAAAAAACAAAAGGATAACAAAAGGATAAAAACACTTTTGCCGACTAAAATTTTAGTAGCTAAAAATGTAAAACTTTAGACGACCAAATATTTAGTAGCCAAAAGAGGAACTCTTTGCTGACTAAAAATTTAGTAACCAAAGATGTGGGACTTTCGGCGACTAAATTTTTAGTAGCCAAAAGAAGAACTCTTTGCCAACTAAATTTTAGTAGCTAAAAATGTGAGACTTTAGGCGACTAAAAGTTTCGTCGCCGAAAAGGGTCTAATTTAATTTAATGTCCAACCTTTTGGCGACTAAAATTTTAGTCAGGAATTGTATACATTTGGCGACTAAAATAGTTTTAGTCGCTAATTACCTTTACCGACAATTTTTTGGCGACTACTTTTGCGACCAAATAATTTAGTCGCTAAAACCATTTGGTGACTAAAAATTAACTTTTTAGTCGCCAAAAGTGAAAATTCTTGTAGTGCTTGGTCATGCGCCAAGGTGATCTCGGCTAGGTCGAGGTTATCTGCGGAGATATCTAAATCTGAGATAAGCGGAAAAGGGACAAGAGTTCTAGAACAGCGGAAGATCTCAATCTAGATAAAGATAAGGCTCAAGAAGAGTTTATCTATATCTAGATAAAAGTTCAAGATGAGCATTGAGCATGAGTCCACTAAAGTGAGGCTTCTAATAGGATCAAGTCACTGTTGGTTATATAAGCAAGGCATCCTCGTGAGTCTAAGGTGAGTTCTTTCTTGTAAGGTTAAGCACAATTTGCTATCTTTGAGAGATATTGATTACTGACTTAATCGTTGGAGTACCCCCAGGTGGACGGACCACCATCAGATTCTCATCTTCTTGTGCAGGTTGTTGGGTTTAATCTATTTTACCGGTACACTCCAGTTGAATTCCTCGTTTAGTTGTGTGGTCGGAAATTAACACCCACAAGAGTTATATCAAATTTTATGATTGATTTTTATGCAAATATAAGAACTGTAACATAAAACTAAAAATATTATACAAACATAGAAATCGATTACAAAACTAAATCCTCTCACATGAGGTGACTCTCACTTTTTTCTAGGTCATACACTCATATGAGAGGATTGTGTCTAATTTTTGTGAGTGGTCCGTAAGTAAAAGAATAAAAACTACAATAATGTTAGTATCATGAAAAAAAAATATCATAAAAAAATTTTATGAAAATTTTTCACCTTTAAATTAATTTGTAGTATTTTTATTGTTTATTACAAAACTACCCCAAATTTATATAATTTTTTTAAATAGACCAAAAAACTTGCTCCGGTACCCTTTAATTTGTAAAAAATCTTGTTTTGTACCTCGAAGTACCCAAAAACGTACTTGTGGCGTACCCATCACGTACCCATCATTATACTGATTGTATAAAATGTATCTGGTTCATTTTTTTCGTACGCGTACCTGCTCCCACACCCAGTAAGTACCCGGTACTTGTACATCAACATTTTTGGAGTATCCGTGCTTCATAGACAATGGGAGGGTCCAAATATGTTGTCATATTTGTGGATGATTATTCTCGTTTCACTTGAATTTATATTTTAAAACAAAGGTTTGAGCTACCTCAAACATATTTTGACTTTGCTAGAATGATAAAAACACAATTTGGGTATTCTACCAAAGTTTTCTGGTCTGACAATGCCTAAGAATATAAAGAAAACAAATTTTTAAAACTTCTTCGTGAGTATGGTACACTTCCTTCGCTCGTCAACACACTATCTGGCAAAATTGTCGTGCTGAATGCAAGCATAGACCTAGACACATTCTAGATATGGTTAGAGTTTTTCTTATCTCTTCCTTTTGTCCTAAGTGTTTTTGGGATGAAGCTGCCCTTACGGCTGTTTACACTATTAACCGTATCCCCTCTCTTGTCATTGACAATCAAACCCCTTATGAACGTCTCCATGGTACATCTCCTTCCTACAAAGAACTCCGAGTCTTTGGTTATGCTTGTTATGTAGTCCTTCCTATAAACACAAGAAGTTATAGCCCCGGCCCCAACTATTTTATTTCTTAGGATATGGCATAGAACATAAAGGTTTTCAGTGTTGGGATCCTGTCTTTCATCGTCTTCATATCTCTCATCATGTCATTTTCTAGTAACACAAAATGTTTGCCTCTATATCCCAATTCTCTCTTCCTTCCACTTCCACCATCTCTTATTTCACTGATCCTTCCATTGATTTTTTCCTGATGATGCTCCTACAGATGATTCTTCATCTAGTGGCTCTCCAGATATTCCTGATGCTCGTCCTACCTGCTGATCCTGTTCTGTTACCATCTCTTGAGATTCTTGATATTGCTTGTCACGCCCCACCTTTTTATTACTCGAAGTCGTTACCAAACCCATTAACTTAATTTAAGTTCAGAGATAACATACAGAAATAAACTCTTTAGTCCAATGAGTAGAAATAAATAACAATTCTCTCATCCGAATGCAAATTAAATACAACATGAGCATACTGAATAAAATGTTCGAAGGCTTACATTATTAAAGAATCAAGAAGAAGGCTGTAACCCTTTTTCATATATGGCATTCCGCCAACACAAAAGAGGCCCTGTGGCCAACAAGTAAGAAGATCCAAATCCTGTAGCACATCCTGCTTAACACCTGAAAAAGATTCAACAACGTGGGATGAACATATAGTTCAGTAGGGATCTCAACATGGCCCTCAACAATAACAACTTACAGATAGCTATGATCATGAATGTTCAATATCATACTACAATAGTAATTTAATTCCAATGGCTGTGGAGGAAAAAATTTAAAAAAAAAAATACATATATCAGAAAAAAAAAATGAAGGAGAGTTCAAGAAAGAGGAAGAAGAATCGAATCAAAGAAAGAGAAAAGCGAAGGAGAGAATCGAATAAAAAAAACGAATGGAAAAAAAAAAGAAGAGGACAGTTCAATTCGTTTGTTGCGAAGAAAGAAAAAAAATCTAAAAAATAAAATGAAAGAAAGAGGAAGAAGAATCGAAGAAAAACAAACCAAAAAAACAGAGGATAGAATATTCGTTTGCTGCGAAGAAAGAGAAGAAAAAATCTGGAAAAAAATGAAAGAAAAAGGAAGAAGAATCGAAGAAAAACAAACCAAAAAAACAGAGGATAGACCTCTTCGTTTGCTGCAAAGAAAGAGAGAAAATCTGAAAAAAAAAATGAAAGAAAGTGGAAGAAGAATCAAAGAAGAGGAGGAAGAATCGAAGTGAAACTCACCGGATTGTGTTCTTTGAAGGAGATTTTTGGTTTTTTTTTTTTCTTTTCTTTTTTTTTTTTTTTTTTTTTTTTATACAGAGATCACTGATCAGCAAGCATCTATTTTCAATTCGTCCCCTGCACTGCATATCAGCCACCTAGCAACCAAGCAACTGGTCAGAATCTCTTCATCTCTATTTTTTTTGATTTTTTTCTTGTTTCTTCTTTCTTCTTCAGAGAGGTATAATCTGATGTAGAACCAAAAAAAAAATTAGAGAGGTATTGAACCCAATCATATTTAGAAAAAAAAATAAATAAATAAAAAATGTTAATAAATAATTAATCTGCTGCAAGTGTTAATAATTATAATCTGATATTAAAAAAAAATTAGATCACAAATAATTATAATCTGATGTTAATAATTATAATCTGATGTTAAAAAAAAAATTAGATCACAAATAATTATAATCTGATGTTAATAATTATAATCTGATGTTAAAAAAAAATTAGATCACAAATAATTATAATCTGATGTTAATAATTATAATCTGATGTTAAAAAAAAATTAGATCACAAATAATTATAATCTGATGTTAATAATTATAATCTGATGTTAAAAAAAAATTAGATCACAAATAATTATAATCTGATGTTAATAATTATAATCTGATGTTAAAAAAAAATTAGATCACAAATAATTATAATCTGATGTTAATAATTATAATCTGATGTTAAAAAAAAAATTAGATCACAAATAATTATAATCTGATGTTAATAATTATAATCTGATGTTAAAAAAAAATTAGATCACAAATAATTATAATCTGATGTTAATAATTATAATCTGATGTTAAAAAAAAATTAGATCACAAATAATTATAATCTGATGTTAATAATTATAATCTGATGTTAAAAAAAAATTAGATCACAAATAATTATAATCTGATGTTAATAATTATAATCTGATGTTAAAAAAAAATTAGATCACAAATAATTATAATCTGATGTTAATAATTATAATCTGATGTTAAAAAAAAAATTAGATCACAAATAATTATAATCTGATGTTAATAATTATAATCTGATGTTAAAAAAAAATTAGATCACAAATAATTATAATCTGATGTTAATAATTATAATCTGATGTTAAAAAAAAATTAGATCACAAATAATTATAATCTGATGTTAATAATTATAATCTGATGTTAAAAAAAAATTAGATCACAAATAATTATAATCTGATGTTAATAATTATAATCTGATGTTAAAAAAAAATTAGATCACAAATAATTATAATCTGATGTTAATAATTATAATCTGATGTTAAAAAAAAAATTAGATCACAAATAATTATAATCTGATGTTAATAATTATAATCTGATGTTAAAAAAAAAATTAGATCACAAACATTGTTAATAATTAATCACAAATATTATTTTTAATCATCAAAAATATTATTTTTTATGCTTATAGGAAAATGAGTTCATCAAGCAGTTTAGGTTCATCTGTTGCAAGTGCTTCTGCTCCTTCCATTGATCAATCTGGAGATGAAAATGCTCCTCTTTGGGGCTGTGTTACAAAATTAGTTAAAAGGGGAGAAGGAGGAAGTGGTAATACAAAATTTAAGTGTAATTTTTGTAACATTGAGTACCAAGGGTCATATTCTAGAGTTAGAGCCCATTTGTTGCTACTTACTGGCCATGGAATTAGAGTGTGTGCAATTGTGAAGAACAAGAGTGATCTTCTTTCTGAAATTCGAAAGGCAGATCAAGAAGCTGAGAACCGGAAAAAAATGGCAAAGCCAAAAAATGTTCCTTTACCACCACCATCTTCTCAAATTAGTGCTAGCCACGGCAGTGTAGAAGATGTTGGAACATTTAGAATGGAAGGTTATGCACCAAGAAAGAGAAAGGCAATTGGGAGTAGTCCTTTAGATAAGGCATTCAATCAAAGTGCTAGAGAACATTTACATTCTTTAATTGCTCGTATGTTCTATTCAGCCGGTTTGCCTTTCCATTTGGCTAGGAATCCATACTTTGTGGATGCTTTTCAATATGCTGCTGAGAATCAAATTGTTGGGTATGTCCCTCCTGGATATAATTTGTTGAGGACTACCTTACTTCAAAAAGAAAGGGCAAATATTGAAAGGTTATTGGAACCAACTAAAAAATCATGGGATGAGAAGGGGTTGAGTATAGTATCTGATGGATGGACTGATGCACAAAGGAGGCCTCTCATTAATTTTATGGCAGCATGTAATGGTGGAGCTATGTTTATAAAAGCTGTTAATTGTGAGGGTGAGACCAAGGACAAGTATCATATTGCCAAATTAATTAGTGAAGTGATTGATGAAGTGGGTCCTAATAATGTAATTCAGGTAATTACTGATAATGCTCCAGTTTGTAGTGCAGCTGGATCAATTATTCAAGGTAATTATCCGAAGATCTTTTGGACACCTTGTGTAGTGCACACTCTTAATCTTGCTCTTAAGAATATTTGTGCTGAGAAGGAAATTGGAGTTGCTACATATGCTTATGATGAGTGCCATTGGATCACTACTATGATTGATGATGTAATGTTTGTGAAAATTTCATCATGAATCATTCTATGAGATTAGCTATTTTTAATGAGTTTGTACCTTTGAAGCTACTTTCTGTTGCAGATACACGCTTTGCATCTGCAATTGTTATGTTAAAAAGGTTTAAACTTATATATCATGGTCTCCAAACAATGGTGATAAGTGACAAATGGGCTTCTTACAAGGAAGATGATGTTGGGAAAGCAGGTGTTGTAAAGGAAAAGTTGTTGAATGATGTTTGGTGGGATAAGATTGAATATATACTCTCATTCACATTGCTAATTTATGAGATGCTTAGATTTTGTGACATAGATAAGCCATGTCTACATTTGGTTTATGAGATGTGGGATTCAATGATTGAACGGGTGAAGGCATCCATCTATAGACGTGAAGGGAAGTCAGAAAATGAAGAGTCATCCTTTTACTCTATAATGCATCAAATATTAGTGGAAAGGTGGACAAAAAGTAGCACACCTCTTCATTGCCTTGCTCATTCCTTGAATCCAAGGTATAATTCACATTAGAGTCATAGTTTATACTTTAATTTTTTTCATTGCATAATTTACTTATTATTTTTTTCTAATTATGAAATCTAGGTATTATAGTGGGATGTGGCTTCATGAAAATCCCGTTCGTGTTCCTCCTCACAAAGATGTTGAAATTTCTGAGATGAGAATCAAGTGTTTTAAGAGATACTTTCCTGATTCAGATGAGAGAAGAGTTGTTAATACAGAGTATACGAAGTTTTCAAGTTGTTTAGAAAGTTTTAGTGACTTTGACTCAATATGTGATAGAGGAGTAATGGAACCAGTGGTTTGGTGGTTGGCACATGGCTCTTCTGCACCTACGCTCCAATCCTTGGCAGTGAAATTACTTAGCCAACCATGTTCCTCATCATGTTGTGAAAGGAATTGGAGCACCTACTCTTTCATTCACTCTATGAGGAGGAATAAAATGACACCACAACGGTGCAAGGATTTGGTTTTTGCACACTCCAATATTCGCCTCTTATCAAGAAGGAGTCAACTATATACAAAAGGAGAGACCAAGTTATGGGACGTTGGGGGAGATGCATTTGATTCATTGGAGGGTTCTGGTTTCCTTGAAATTGTAAATCTTTCACTTGATGAGCCAGAGATGGAAGCTATTTTATTGAATGATGAAGTTGATGGATGTGAACTTTGAAGTGTCAAGTTTAGATATATACGGCTTTCTTTTGTTTTTTTTCATTTGCTTGTGTTATGGACTGAATTGGCCTTGTTTTTCTTTTGGTGTTGGTTGTTTTTTCTTTGCTTGGATTATGGACTGAATTGGTGTTGGTTGTGTTGAATTGAAATATATTAATATTTTTCTTTTAGTTTTATAATTCTCTTTTTAGTTTTGATATTTAATTTCAATTTGTAGGTTGGATCTTCTAACCATAATTATAAAAAATAAAAAAATATCGGCGTACCGCAGCCGTACCCGTATCCTACTTTTTTAGGATTTTGCCGTATCAGCGTACCCGCACTCGTACCCGTACCGTACTCATACTCGCACCCGTGCTTCATAGGTAATGACACATGAAGAAATTGGTTAATCCTCTAACTAAACAGCCATAGGCATAGCCATACTTCTTTTCAGATTGAGGAATAGCCATACTCTTTTTAGATTGCAGAGAAAATCTTTATTTCTTCTTTGCAGAGGAATAGCCATACTTCAAAAGAGTCGAAATCTTTAAAAGTCAAATACTTCTCAATTTTAATTTTAATTTTGATGAAGAATTTTATATCTTAATTTTATATCTTTAATTTTCTATCAATTTTATATCTTTAATTTTGATGAAGTATTTGATTCAATTTTATATCTTAATTTATATCTTCAAAAGAGAAAATTGTTTAATTTTAAACATAAAAAGATTTTAATTTTAATTATGTATGAATAGCCATACATAATTGTTTAAAGAATTTCAAAAGAGTATTTCTCTACAGAGGAATATCCATACTTCTCTTTCTTCTCTTTTTGGATAATTTGATTTCTTCTCTTTCAACAAAAGCTGTCTTTCCGATTGAGGAATTTTGCCCTAATTTCAGCAAGATACATATATATAGATATATATATATACACCAGATTACCTCGTCGTCAATGGGATGGAAATAGAGGGAGTCGGGACTCGAGAGGACAAAGTAGGGTCGTCAGGAGGACCTGTCGTCGGCATGAGGAGGAAAGGTTTAAACTTATATATCATGGTCTCCAAACAATGGTGATAAGTGACAAATGGGCTTCTTACAAGGAAGATGATGTTGGGAAAGCAGCTGTTGTAAAGGAAAAGTTGCTGAATGATGTTTGGTGGGATAAGATTGAATATATACTCATTCACATTGCCTATTTATGAGATGCTTTGATTTTATGACACAGATAAGCCATGTATACATTTGGTTTATGAGATATGGGATTCAATGACTGAACGGTAGATAGTAACAGCGCCCGCGTGGGCCTAGCCCTACAGTTCGGACTCGAGTGAATGGGAGGAGCGGAGCTATATTTCGCTCAGAGCATTTTGAATTCTGAAAGAGGATTTTGAATTCTGAAAGAGGAAGGTACGTGGGATATGCATATCACGTGACCAATCACGTGCCATCCACCTCAGAGGGGGTCATGGGCGTCGATTTTTGAGGGGGTCGGAAACATTTTTTTTTTTTTTTTGTGTTCCCATTTTTTTGGGGCTTTTACTACCTGATTTCAAATTTTATAAAAATTCTTTACACACCCCAAACAACCTCCCACACTCAAACCTTAAACTAATTTTACATCTACCATCTACCCATCCACTACCAACTCCAGCCACCCTCCATTGCCCTTCCCTAGCTCCAGTTGTTACCTCTCAATCCTTTCCTACCTTGCCCATCCCCAACCTCCCCACAGCCCCTCATTCCCTCGATCGTCACCCAACAACCCCTACCTACGTTCCTCCCTAGCCTTCACTAGTTACATCTTTGCCCTTTCTCTTTCTTCTCCTTTCGATGGTCGTGAAATAAAAATGAAAAGTGAGAGAAGTTCAGGAGAAAGAGAGAGTCTGCAAGGGTAGTGGTTGTGACGAAAGGAGAAGGGGCTCGGTGTTCATGGGATGGCGGCCAAAGCAAGGGATGGGTGGATAGGGTAATCAGAACTAGTTGTGGTTGGGGAATGATTAGGATTAGGAATAGGATTTGGATTTGAGAGAGTAAAGATGAGAGTAAAATTAAAATTCTATGATAAAATAAAATTGTAACAGTGAGGGTCCAAAGAAAATGCAGGAGTGTGGTATTAGTAGCACCCCACATTTACAACTATAAAAAAAACTCTAATTTGAATAGGAAGAGAAAACAGGGAAATAAGAGAAGTCCATAGCAAATATTTGGTGGCATTTGCAAGGGCGGAGACTGACAATATCTCTTCTAGAAAGATGGAGACGCTTGGCTAATCCAATTCATCCAACATATCACATGCATCTTCTTATTGTCGAAAACGATTTATTATCAATCGAGAATGGTATGTTTTTTTAAAAGTATTTTAAAACTAAAATGTATAATTTTAATTTTAATCTTAATTTTTTGTTGTATAAATTACATTCAAAATAAATTTAATTTGCACTTTTTATTTGGGAATAATTTTCAAATGCACTTTTTTGAGTAGTACAAACTAATCAATTCCAACCAACTAGATTGTTAATAAGTAAATGAGGCTTGATGGTCACCCTAATTTAGGCACTAAGGATCCTCTAGAGTGTTTTTTTCTTAAAGTTTCCTAAAGTGGTGTATTGTGTGGTTGAGATTTAATGCTGAAAAATTGATGTGACTTATCATTAAATCTCAACCACACAATGCACCACTTTAAGAAACTTTAGAAAAAAAAAAAAAAAACTCTAAATGATCCTTGCTCTAATTTAGGACCTATATACAGTTGTGTATATCCCTGTCAAATCTCCTGCAAAAATTGGTACGTATGTGCCACTACAACAGGCACAAATTGATAGACTACTTCACAAAGGAATCCCCACGCATTGTCATGTCCCATGGAGAGCCTTCTCTTTTTTAATCTTCTCTTTTGAAGAAGCCAATCTTTACCTAAGGTTTGGAATACATATCTTGATCTCAAACAGCTCATTTATTCATATATATTGTGCGGGGAGCAAATATTCAGGCTAGCCCGCACTCTTTTCTTCCGAGCTCCTGTCTATCCGATCGACCTGAGAGCACAACGGCTATGAGCTACCCGGCGGTGTGTGGCCGGAAAACCCCTCCGACGATCAAGTTAGACACACACACAGGGATAGAAAGAGAGAAGGGAGAGTGTTGAGTGTTTAGTGTATGTCTCACCAAATGTTCCTCTGTCCAGCATGGGGGGCGTAGACTCGCTTATAAACCTTCTGCGCCCCAAATCTACTCTCATCCGTCTCTCGACACGTAGTGCTGCTATCCCATCTGTCAGCACAAATCTTGTTGAACACCACCTAACCAAACTACCAGCCCACTCTACTGGGAGCTCGGCAGCCGGGCTGCATCTTCTTGGCTATCAACGGTCGTGCTATACAACTGGCCAAGCGCTCCGCTCGCCGCGCTTAATGAGGACCGAGCACGGCTGCATCCCGGCAGAGCCGAGCTCGAAACAGCTCATGCTGGTTTGCCGTCGGCCTTCCTGCTGGGCTAACTCATGAACCCTGGTCCAACCACGCCTTTCCTGGCGCCGGACATCTCACTTGACTGACCTCTACACCATGCAGCTATGTAGCTCAGTCCAACCACGCCTTGCCTTAACCGAGCAAATCTTTTCAGCACAGGACCGCGCTACCTCGGCCCAATCTTGTCCGGCCCAAATCTGTCCGGCCATTACCACAGCCCAATCCATATCATAAATCTCCCTCTCATATATAATAAAAAAGAAAGGAAAAAAAAAATTGTGTACCCAAAAACAAGGTGTATGGCGTAAATTTAATTTTGGGTTTGATTTTTTTTTAGTTGTCATTTCAACTTGAGAAAATGTTTGGACTTAGTAAGCCTATTTTGGATCTGATTTTAATGATCTGAACCATTCACTAAGACTCATTAAAAAGAATATTCATACAAAAAATAAGATGATTGGACATAGGTAACTATACGTTTGAATCATATTTGTTTTAAAAAAAATAGACCGCAAATATGATTTTAAGAATAGCCATCTATTTTTTATAATATAATTTGAATTCAAACATATAGCTACCGATATCCGATTATATTAATTTTTTACATCAATATTCTACCAAGCGTGTTCTAAAAAGTGAACAGTTCAGATCACCAAAATTAATCTCAAATGGGCCTATTAAATCCAAACATTCGATAGTCATCGAGAGAAACTCAACTCTTAAATTTAAAAGTGATATTGGTCACATTAGCTTGCTTATAATTTTGATTAATTGGAAAAATCTGTTTTCTATTTCTATTAACTCAATTCATATCTATGTTTTGTGTGTTTTCAAGTGGATTTAGATCCATCTTTCCAATGTCGAAATATCACCTAAATAAATTTGTCTAGAGACTCAAATAGATCAGGAAGAAAGAGACTGAGATCTAATTGGACGGCATACAAGAATATATTTGACTTATGCATTTTATTTTTGAATATATATTTTCCTACATATATGTAACAATGCTGAGAAATGAAGATAATTTAGATTGCCAAAAATGAAGATAACAACCTTAAATGGCGAAACCTTAATCCTACCCACTCCATCCCCACCTAATAAACGAAACCTACTTTTGCAAATTGGGTAGGAACAACTCTTATATTTCCCAAACATGAACTCGAACCTAATGCGAACTAATTAAGATATTTATAAAATAAAAAAAAATTTTAAAAAAAGGGAGTAACATTAAATATCACTCCACCACTAGATTTTCTTATTTTTTTTATTTTTTTGTAATAAATCTTTCCAAAACAATTATATTGATAATTTAATAATTTATATTTAAAGTAAAAATATGATTTTAATATTATTATACTTTAATTTTGGCTTGAACGTTTATATTATATAATAGAAAATATAATAAAATCATTATAGAAAATCATAATAGAGACATCAGACTAAAGTAATATATATATATGAAAATTGATATGATGGACATCCATATGGGTGATGGATCATTCCATACATCCATCTTGTCCTGAGACATTCTAATAATAATGAAAAA